AACCAACCATCCAAACCACGGAGCTGGAGCTTGGGTGGGGGGTGCGGGGGGAGGCAAGTAGCGAGAGCGAGGCTGGGGAGGGGGCTGAGGCCCAGCACGTAGGACTGCGATGCCAGCCCAAAGGTCTGCTCATGAATCTGGAATGGATGGGGAGTGCTGGCGGGTTTTCAGAAGGGAATGGCCCATCAGATCTGTAATCGGGAGAGATCCATGAAGAGGGAGTGGAAGTGAGGGCCAGAAAACAACTCCCTATAAGGTTCTCCAGAGAGGAGGAAGGACCAACAGGGACATCAAGGCCACAGGGTAGGACTCAGACCAGAGGGCGTGGTCAGAGTTCGGGCCTTGGTGGAATGGGATAGCGGGGTCCTTCCTTCCCCACGAGGAGGTATCCAGTCCCAGGCCTTGCCCCAGACACCTGACTCTGCGCAGTTCCCCTGAACTCAGAGTGTGGCCTGCCCACTCATGGTGAAATTGGAGGTGGGCAGCACCTGGACTCCATAAATAGCGTCAGGAGAGGGGACCTTCCACTGCTCAGCTGTTTCTATGCTTTACTTCTTCCCCACCCATCCCAAAGAGCTAGGCCATCTACAACTTTGAGTCCCAGCCCTTGTGATTTGCTGGGTGACCGTGGGGGGCAGGCTTTTCCTTCCCTGAGCCCACCTTTCTTATCTAGACCTGCAAACGAGGCTAAAGTAGCTCACTGGACGTGGCTGATATAAGAGCTCAGGGAGGGACATTTGTGAGCATCTTCCCTGCTCCCCAAGTGTACACACTGGAGGGGCCTGCATCCTCACGGGCACTTAGCACAGTGTGGGGTACCAGGTAAGGGCCCCAGAAATGCAGGAATTACACTGCCGAGAGGTGAGAGTGCCCCATGTCCACTAGAGGGCAGCAGAGAACTTCTAGAAAGACCACCCAGGTTTGCTGATGGTTCCACACAGACCAGGAGCCAGAGGCCTAGAGCAAAGGCCCATAGAAGTGGTAGAACCAGCGCTAGAAGCCGGCCTTCCTTGCCCCGGGACTGCCTCAAATCCCCTGGGGAGTGTAGAGCATTCAGCCTCTACCTTGCCACACCCCGCCTAGCTACAGAGTTGGATGCTCAGATGGGGCCCTTTTAGAAACAGTTTCCTGGAAGGTTCTCCCGGTGAACCAGACTTGGGTGCCACAAAGGCAGATTCAATCCCTACCATTTGCCAGGCCCCAGGCCGGGCGCCCCACAAGCACATCTTACTGAATCCTCCCATGAAGGCTCCACCACTTTACTACAACGGTTGCTCTATTTTACAGATAGGGAAACTGAGGCTAAGGGCTCAGGTGAACAGGTGCTAAGGCCACCCAGCTAATGAGTGGTGATTCAAACTCAGATCTGTCTCCCTGACACGTGCATCACTCTGCTTACCTCCCAGACCCTGTCCCCTCCTAAACAGGACCTTGGGCCCTGTTCTTTCAGACAGCTGGAGCAGAGGGGTGGGTCATCTCCCTCCACTGGACTCCTCACTGCAGGAGTCAGGCTTACACGTGCCTGCTTCTCCTTTCCCCAGCCAAGAGCATGCTCCGGGCCTGCCACACCAAGACCTGACCCATCCCTTCCTCCCTGGGGCTGAGCAGTATGCCGGGCACTTAGTAGGTGCTCAGTGAACACATACCAACTGACTTCCTTAGAGCTGTGAAGGAGAATGTAGGTCAGACCCCAAGGACCACCCAACTACAAGGCAGCTGAGGGAGGCTAGAAGATTGGAATCACTACTCCAAGTCCTTAAATCATGATCAGCGAATGATTGGAAAGCTCAAGGACACAGTCCAAAAGGCAAAGAGCCTTGCTCGGTGGTGGCATTTCCTTGTGTCCCCAGTTTTGGATTAGTCTGTGTGCCATGGGTGGGAGGACTCCCAAGCTTCGTTTAGCAGAGTGATGGTCAGGCGGTTGAACTTGGCTTCCAGACAGACCTGGGTCCCAGTCACGGCTGTGCCCCCTTCCTGCCTATGTGATCCTAAGTGACTTCACCTTTCAGGATCTGAGTTTTTCCCTCCGTTAAATGGGGTTAAGAGGAGCCCATGGGGTGTAGAGGAATGAAATGATGAAGGGCAGGTCATGTTCTCGCTCCTTGAAGAGAGCGGAGTGAAGAGTGCCCTTGGATGTTGTCAGTCTAGCTTCCTGACTGTGGGAGAGGAAGGCTTAGCCTGGAGAAGCAGCTCGCAAAGTGAGACACTCTGGAGCTGAGTGCCCTTGAGACCCAGGGGACAGAGCTTGTGGCCTGCTGTCCGGCTCCCTTTGCGCCACTGAAGAAACAGTTTTCCTAAAGGAGTGAATGTCCAAAGACTGGCCTGTGTCCAGGAAGAGGACACAGGCATTTTCCTGCTCTTTGCAGGCTGGTCTTATCTGTCCATTAAAGCAGGACCTCCAGGGACCTGCCCTGACTCTTGGCTGACCAAGCTGATATCACCCAATGTCCTCAGATGGACTAAAATAGCTCTCTGCCAAAACCTCGAGGCAAGCTGGACTTTCTGGAAAGTCCCCCTGGCCCTCCTTCAGTGAAGACAAATGAATGTCTTTCAATTAGCCCCGGCAGAGCAGCGGGGCCTCTTCCCTGGCTCTTGCACGGGGCGACAGTCCTGGATGACCACTCTCTCCCCATAAGAATCCACGTTCGAAGAGTCACCTCGTAGGAAGGAGCCGGCAGGGTGGCTAGCAACCCGTTCATGAGTCTGAAATGACCAGGGAGCAGATCGTGACAATTCCTCTCCTGCAAGGATGGGAACGCTGCACGCGTGTGCTGAGAGCGTCCGTTATCAATAACAACAGTAATAACGATCAGCATTTATGCAGCACTGACTGGTGCCAGGCTCTGTCCTCAGCAGTTTATATGGAGTTGCTTTTGATCCTCATCTCCTATCCTCTATGAGCGCTTAGTAACTTCTCACAGGATAAACCTATCTTATCCCCACCTTATAGAGGAGGAGCCTGAGGTTCAGAAAGGCTCTCACAGCCGTAAGTCGGACAGACTGAGGCCGGAAGAGGGGGAAAGTAAGTGGGGCTTTTGCCGAGCTGGAACTAGGAAACTGGAAAATCATGGCTGGCTCCAGCGGAAGAAGGAGTCATCCAAACACGAAATGAACCCGCAATAGCCAGGGTCCCCCTGGGTGGTCCCTGTCCACCCTCCCGAGGCAGCTGAGGAAAGCTCTCACGCTTGGTGCCAGGGGCCTTCCCCGCCGGGGGGCTGGAGACCTCCCAGCAAGCAGGGCCTCCATACAGTGACCGAAGAGAGAGAAGGGCTCTGGGGAGGGGAGGAGCCCAGGCTCGAGCCTGCTGAGCCACTGGAGCTCAGGTGACACCACAATTACTTAGAGTAGAAATGGCACTAACCAGGTTCACCCTCCTCCCCTCCTTCAGGTCTCTGCATGAATGTCACCTGCGCCCCCCTATTTAAAAGTGCACCCACCCTGGCAGATGGACCTCCCTGCTAGATTTTGCTCCATGGCATTTATCACCAAGTTCCCTCTATTCCGCCCTTTTTCTTGTCTTCTGTGTTCGGTGACGCTAAGGGTTCTTAGGCTTTGTTCAAAGCTGGCCCAAAGGGGGTTCTCCATAGGGATTTGTGGAATGAATTTTTTTTGAACCCAGATCATCGATTTCCTCAAATGGTCATATTGACTGAAAGTTGCTTCTGGCTAAACCGTCTGCAACAAGCAAAGCCTCATGCTGTACTCTTTCCATTCACAAGTGGATTTAATCCCGGCAACTGTCCAGTGAGGGGGTATTACGATTGTAGCCATCCTGCAGATGAGAGGACTCAGGTTCGGAGCAGTGAAATCATTTGCCCAGGATCACTCATGGTTAAGTGAGGAGGCGAGATGTGCTCCTGTGTGGTTCAGTCTGCAGACTTAACCAAGACCACTCTGCGGGGCCCAGTGGCCTGTGGCCTCTGGTCGTCACCCCACGTCCTGGGCTCCGCCTCCTTCCACTGGCCTTCCACTAAGTCTCCACTGTTGGACAACCCGAATGCCCAGTCACACATCTTGCCTTTCAATACCTGGCCGCTGTGAGCTTCCTGGGCAAAGCCAGCCTGTCCCTTGTCAGTCCTGTTCACGACCCTGGTTTGCGTCAATGCCAGGAGTGTTGAATGAATGCATGAGCGAACAAAGGTAGGAATGAGCCCTGTGGGTCTCAGTTTCCCTAACTATAAAATGGAAGAGTTAGATTAGTCCTGTGACTCCTTCTCTAATGAGGTCCTCCCACTAGCACCTCCAATTTCTCATGTCACATCTGGACTTCCCCCTAATTGTAGACCCATTGCATCCTACTGGGATCCTGATATTCTTCACCTCCTGACCCTCACTTGAACTCCACAGACAAGGAACCTCACCCCCCATCTAATTGGCTGAATACCATAAAGTGATCCAGGGAGGGTTCAAGGCCTGTCCAAGGTCCCAGCAAGCCTGTGGCATCAGAACTCAGACCTCATGACCCCTCCAACACCAGCACGCAGGCAGCCCGCACAAAGGTCAGCTGGAACTGGTCTCCCTCATGCTCCCGCGTGGAGACGCTCACCATTTGATTTCCCCACGTCTGCCCTGTACATGTAGCAGTTGCTCAATTAAAATTTGTATCATATACGAAGGAGATGGCAACCCAGACTATTTCTGATCAGCAGGGGCATGCACCGCTGCCGAGAGTCCTTTCCTCCTCCTCGGGCTCCCCTGAGAGTCCCTCCTCTTTGGGATGTCACCGCGCACAAGTGCCTGACGTCCGGAGACAGGACCCGCCACACTCGGAGTTGACACCTCTCTTTATTTGTCTATTTCATCACCTGCTGCCTGGCTTCTCCCAAATCCAGTCTCATCTCTCACAGTCCGGGGCAGCACCCTCCCTCTGCTTCCCCAAACTGCCCACCAGCCCCTACCCGCGGCCCTCAGGAACTCCCCTCTGCCCAGCAGCTGCCATCCCCACTGAGCAGATGGGGGGACTGAGCCTGGGAGTGCAGAGCCCAGACCAAGGTCACACGGCGGCGGTCTCCCGGGTTTCTGCTTTGCCCTCAGCAGGGAGGGAGGACTCGGCTGGGGCTCCGTGTAGCCTCGCTGGGCGGTGGCTGGCTCCGGCCGCGACGGAGGGAGCTGCCAATTTGGTCCCTGAGGGCCTCCAGTCTCTGGGCCAGGTTTGGAACTGCAGCCCCACCTGAGGAGCACACGGTGAGACTCGAGGCCTGTGCCCCCTTGGGCCCCTCCCCACCCGGACCTATCAGTGTCCCAACACCCTCTGGGGAAGCCTCGGGTGGTTGCCCTCCCCCTCCACATACACCACGGGCTCCTGCACACATCTGGACATACAGGTGGCCCCGGGAAGAGAATTCCAAGTTTGGGAACTGGAAAGATCTTACAAATCGCCTCTCAACACACACCCTGTTTCAGAGATGGGAAGACTAAGGCCTGGAAAGGGTGGGTTCTGGCCCAAGATCACAAAAAAAAACCCCCACGAAGGGCCCCTCCCTCTCTCTCTTCTTCACCTCTCAGCACTGGTGACGTGTTCGGGGGCCCCATGGGCAAGGGGGGTGCAGAGGGTACCACCTCCTCCTCCGTCAGCATCTCTGCCAGGACTCGGGTCTGAGTCCAGTCACTAGGACTCCTGGGCCAGGGTGGGTTGGGTGGTAGGAGGTGAGCCCTCGAGTTCCCAGGCCCGGTCCCCTCCTCCCGTGTCCCAGTGCCCCAGGGCTGGCCCACCTCTCTCTCGGACACTTGGCAGAGCCAGGGTTGCATGGGGGTGCCCAGGGTGGGGGCTGGGCAGCGAGGGGCATGCCACCTGGGGCCTTAGGGCCAAACACCTGCAGGAAAGACCAGAGCCCACACTGGGTGACCCTGCCTCTACGTGCCCCACCTTCCTGGTGCCACCACCATCTCTGCCACGCCTGCCCCCACGGGACGCCAAGAATATCAGGTGCACATAAAGGCGCAGGGTCTTGGTCCCTTTTTCTGTGGGCAGTGGGTAGCCCTTGGAATGTCCTCTCTGGAGACAGGAACTCCCTGAGGGCAGGAACCGTGTCTGGTGTCTGTCGGGATTCCCGGTGCCCAGAAACAGGGCTGGCACAAAGCTGGGAGCTCCGGGGAGAGTTACCAAGCGAGTGAATGAACATGTGAGTGAAGACATAAATGAGTAATGTGTGAGTGGACGGGGGAATGAGCGAGTGAGGCTCCATGAGTTCCTGAAAGAAGGCAGGGTGGGGAGGAGGCCGAGGCAAGCAAACCAGCTTTTCCGAACCCTGGGCGGGAGCCCAAGCCTGGCCCCTCATCGCGTGATCCAGCCTGGGACCCTGCAACTCCGGAGCCTCCCGGGCTGCTGACCCCCTGGATCAAAGTCTCCAGCTCTCCCCCGTTCACTCCCCTCCCCTCCGCCTGTCCTACCTGGGGCAGGTGGTGCTCCCCCTGTGCGCAGGCCCAGTGGGCCAGTGGTGCTCGGCACAGGGGGCAGAGGCGGTGGCAGGAGCAGAGGGGTGGCAGGGCCTGCAAGAGAGCATGTCAGAAGCTTTGCGCCGGTCCTGCTCCTCACCCCTCCCGGCCGGGCAGAGACTCACGTGGCATGGGGGAGCCGGCACCATTACACAGAGACACGGGGCTGGGCCAGGGTAGGGCTGGTGATCAGAGCAGGCACAGAGGAGGCACCTGGGGAGAACAGGGGGGTCTGTGCCTACAGCCCGCAAACCAACACCAGGCTGGCCGCCACGTCCCCCCTTTTAACACACACTCAGGGAGCACTTACTCCATGCCAGGTACCGTTCTCAAGGACTGACATATGAGCTCATTCAATCCTAACTTTACAACCACCCTATAAAGTAGGCACTGTATTACCCCCATTTTATAAAAGAGGAAGCCCAGGCAGGCAGAGGTAAAATGACTCCCCCAAGGTCACACAGCTAGTAAGTGGCAGAGCTGAAATTCGAACCCAGGGAGTCTGGGTCCAGACTCTTGCCCATTTCACTGAGCCACCCTTTCCCACCTGCCCTCTGTCCCAAGCCTGTGTCCGGGCTGGCAGCCGTGCTCACCGCTCCAGCTCCTGCACCTGTTGGGCCAGGATGCGCTGCTCATCCCGGGCCCGGTCCCGGCTACTCTGCAGCTGGCTGTTTTCTTTCCTGGGAAGAGCGGGCCCCAGGAAGGTGACGGGAGGCAGAGCTACCAGGAGGGGTATCAGTTAGCCCTCCTCTTTGCGGGGGAGTACGAGCCCCAGGAGGCAAGGGGGGACAGCAGGGTAGCACGGACGAGGGAGCGGCGCAGCTTGGCAGAGCAGCCCAGAGGGGAGGGGTGGGGCACAGAGTCCCCCCGGCTGAGGCAGGCCCTACCTGAGCCTCTCATTCTCCAGCATGAACTCCTGTAGCATTCCATAGAGGTTCCGCTGGGCCCAGGCCACCCGCGCCCCACTGAGCCTTGAGGCTGCAGGGAAGGGGAAGACGGCTGGATCCACAGGAGCCCCAGATCCTACCCTCACCCCACCCCTGCCTCCAGGCAGCTCATACCCTTGGGGTCTATTTGCCCCAGTTGGGACCGCAGGCAACGGTTCTCCTCCTGGAGCTGCAGTATCTCAATCTCCAAACGCTGGGGTTGCTTAGGCGACTGCAGAGAAAGAGGCCCAGAGCTGCTGCTTATGGCTGTACAAGTTGTGCACTGCACAAGGGCTTCCAGGGGTGGGTGAGTAGAGCCTCAAATCCAGCCCACGCTTCACTGGCCAGCCCGCATCCCAGTACAAGGCTACATCCGCCTGGAGGAGGCACCTGGTCCTATTGGTATCAAAGCTGTATGCCTGGAGGGCCTACTCTAAGCTGGACCCGCTCCAAGTCCGACATTAAACTCAGGTCTGTTCAAACCTTGGCCCAGATTCTGACCCCAAACGAGACACTACGTCAGACCCGAACTCAACTCAGACTTAAGCATGGTACCAACTGGGACCCTGGCTATCCCCTGAATCATATCCCAAATCAGACCAGACCCCCAGACATGCCCTAACCCTGACCATGACCCTGACCCCACCCTACCCAATCATGACCCCATCACCAGGATTCTGACTCTAATTCCAACTCTGACTCAGTCCCAGACTTCTCATGACACCAACTCAGGCTCCAGCTACTGCCTGATCCCCAGCCATCTGCTCTGCCTGTGTCTCCCTCCATTCACCTTGGGGGCCTGTGGCCGAGTGGTGACGCGCTGGGCTCGGCTTGCATATCGCAGGGTGCTGAGAGTCTCAGGAAGGCACTGGGCTGAAGGGGACACGCAGGCCACCTGGGGAGGACTGCCCCTGAGTGTTCCTCTCCGGGACCCCCTCCTCAGGAGCCATTCCTCCCTGCCAGACCCTCTTGAATACCATGAGGGTGACCCCACGTCCCCCCAGCGAGTCTGCCAGCAGCTTGGTGAGCTTGCTGTCCCGGAAGGGGATGTGGCTCTGCTTCCTCTGTGGGTCCAGCAACAGGGAGATGCAGTGACCTGGGTGGGGACAACAAGGCTAGCAAGGTTACAGCTCTTGCTCAAGGCCACCCAGCTGGTACATGCAGAGCTGGGATCTCCACCCAGGTCTGTGTGACTCGAAGATCTGTCTTTCTACAAGATCTCGTTACTCGGTCAGACCAGTCTCTGCCACCCGACTGGGGCTCCTGAGGGCAGAGATGGCCCTGTCCAACCCCTGATCCCCAGTGCCGCCAAAGAAGCCGACCACCCCTGAACCTCGCACTCAGCAGGGGCTCAGGAAATGAAAAAGAGTTCCCTGAAAATCTCCCCACGCATACCACAGAGTAAGGGACCTCAAGGCCCAGTGACCTGGGGTGGGGGTGGGAAGAAAGTCACTTCCCTTCTCCTCATGGGACCGCAGTCTTCCCAAGTGCACATGGGACAGGCTGAATGTCTGAGGGCTCATCCTCTGCACTCGAGTGTTTCTACCTCTCAAATGAACATGTACCTTTATAAACCCTCAGTGTTCATAGACCCGTAAAGTTCTAAGAGGGGAGGTACCAGTCAATAGCGCGGTGAGACCAGGAGGCAGCGGGTGGCTCCTGGGTCACAGCTCTTGACTCCCCACACTACATCTCCTCTGGTTTCCCCCACTGGGGACAGCTCTGGGCCAGGCTCAGGGGAGGGACACGGGAAGTCCGCCCAGCTGGCCCCACGTCTCACCTAGGGCCAGCAGGCTGCGGTTGATGCTGTTCGCCTCAAGCATCAGCTCCCCACGGGATCCTGTGGCCGCCACCTTCTCACTGCCAGCCAGGTCTACAAAGCACAGCTTCCCCCCCACGGGGGGCTCCCCAGGGGCCCCTGGAGGCATCTGTGGGGCAGGGGAATCAGGGCTCGATGGGGACTCGGGAGGAGCCATCCCCACCAAAGTCACAAAGCCAACGATTTCCACTATTACCTCTGGCGCATGCCCAAGTCGCTTTCCACATCCAGAGGCAGACCCTTGCTGGGTGGCCCTGGGCCAGCTCCTTCCCCACGTGGGGACACTCACAGTTTGGCGGCTGATGTAGAGCGTAAGCAGGGCATGGCTTCGGCTGGAGGCCTGGTTCAGGGTGTGAGCTGAGCTCCGTCGGCGGCTAAGACCTAGAGGGGGAAAATGGCAGGAGACGGACCTGGTAGGAAGAGCAGGTCGTCACTAATGAAGAAAAAGAAGCAAGGGCATTCTGGGAGAGGGGCCGGCCTGTGCAAAGGCACGGAGGCAGGAAAGGGGAATGAGGGGCTGCCAGGTCTGCCTCTAGCACGGACATGTGTAAGGAAGATGAAGAGTACTGAACAGAGGAACGTCTGCTGAATTCACGTTTTATGGACATCTCTCCCGTTGCCTTATGGAGAGAGAGAGAGAAACTCAGACAGAAAGCTCAGCTCTGGGCACAACTTTGGGGCCAGAACCCAGATTCCCAGCGTCCCCAATGCCTGCTACAGGGTGGGTGCTCAATAAATATTTGATGAATGAATGAGGCTGGAAGAGAAGGACCGCACAGGCTAGCCTAAGAGGTATGACCTTTACCTTTAAGAAACTGGAAGGGTCTAGGGGTCTGGAGAGGAAGAGGGATGTAGTTTGCTGCATGTAGGGGAACAGACTGGAAGGGGAGAGCCTTGAGGTGCAGAGACCTCCTCAGGGGGCAAAGATGGGGCCTGACCAAGGCAGAGGCCCTGGGCTGGAGAGACCATGACCCTGACTCCACTCTACCCAATCATGAGCCCATCATCAGGATTCCAAGAGTCTGGACAGCAAAATCTGCAAGCCTGGTGTGGGGTGGGGTGAACATCTCTGGGCTGTGTCTGAATTGTTGGTTTTGCGGGCCCTTTTCTCCCACGCGGATCATCATAATCCACAGCTCCAGCCAGGGGCTCGGGGTGCAGTCAGTGAACAGCTGAGGAACGGGCATCCCCGTACCCCAAAGCACCCCTGAAGTAGCACGCACCCATTTGCAGAAGTTCCATCAGGGCCCCCAGACTCTCAAACTCCACCACCCGCAGCTGCTCCACATAGAAGCCCCGGGTCTTGCTCCAGCGAACAGGGAGGGGCCGGGGAGATCCCACGCTCAGAAGGTCTCGAACCTGAGATAAGGGTGGTAGGTGAGGGAAGGGGCCCCGAGCCCACGTTCCATCCACCCCCAGCCCTTACCGACAACAGTCCCCCAGCCTCTTCTGTCCCTTGACCCGTGCTCCTTGGAAAGAAATGCCTCCTCTTCCTGAGGGCTGTCTAGTCATCTCAGTCCCCCACCTGCTCATTGTAGATCTCCAAATAGGAGGCACGGAGTGTAACAGGCGCGCCCAGGTGCTGCACCCGGTCTAACAGCCAGGCGAAGGTCCTCTGCATGATGCCAGCTAGGTTGGGGGGTACGGACACACCCTCGCCCTGGGGGCAGAAACAGCGGAGCCAGAGACTGGATCATGATCATCCGAGCACAAAGCAGCAGTCATAACTACCCTCTGTAGAGGACTGCCCCAGTATGCGCCAGGAACTGGGCCAAGTTCCCGTAGAACATCGCCGGCAATCCTCGGTCAGAACTGTCACTTCCGTTTACAGATGAAAGAACTGAGAGCTACTAAGTAAAGCGGATAAAAGTGGCTCCATATTGGGCAGGCACCTTCACCTCTGCGGTCCTCAGTTTCCCCGTCCGCAAATAAACGGGGCTGGGCGGCGCGCAGGCCCTTCCCCCTGGAAGGGCGCGCCACCTGCGGCTCCCCAGGGCTTCGAGTCTCCCGTTCCCTCCCCGCTGCACCTGCGCTCGGCCCACCTGCGGAGGAGGCCCGGTCAGGGTGTAGGTCTTCCCGGAGCCGGTCTGGCCGAAGGTGAAGACAGTGCAGGAGAAGCTGCGGGCGGCAGGGGCGCGGCTGGACGCAGGCGGCGGCCGGCGGGGGGGCGGGGGCAGGCTGAGGGCCGGGGCGCTGTCCCCGGGCGCGGGCCGTCAGCGGGGCCTCACTCACCCGCGCAGCGCCAGCTCGCCCAGGCGCCGCACGCCGCACGCCCGGAACACGTCCTCCTGCGTGCGCGCCGCGTCCAGCACGGCGCCGAAGCGGAACGCCACGTCCGGGCCGCCGCCCGGGGGGCTCACCTGGGGGAGGGGGCGGCAGGGGGCGGGGCCCGCTGGGGGCGGGGCCCGCTGGGAGGGCGGGGCCCGCTGGGAGGGCGGGGCTCACGGGGTTGTCGGGGGAGGCTGGGGCCTGGGACAAAGTTGCCCCGGGGAAGGGGTGGAGGGGCCTTCAGGTAGGTTGGGGGGGGCGTGGGAGGGGGCGAGGGGTTCCTCACTTGCAGAGTCCGGGTTCCCGAGCAGTGCAGCGCGCTCTGTTCCCCTCGACGCAACTCGGCGGCGCTCATGGGACGCACCCTGGGGTCCGTTGGGAAGGCGCATGGTCCATCCCGTTGTCGCCATCGGTCCCGTCCTCGCTCGCCTCCCCCACCCCTCAACCAACCTATACCTACCTGAGCACCACCTGGATGGGCGTTTCTGGCCCCTCCGGCCCCTGCTCCAGGCTCCGCGCGAGGTCCCTGTGGCAGCAACGGGAGTTACCCTCCCTGAGCCCAGAGGCTCCTCGAACCTCCCAGAATCTGTGCTTACCCGTCGGGAGACCCGCGTTCCTCCATGTCCTGCTTTGCACACGGAGTCAGCTCCGCCCGAGTCTGGTTCCTTTCTCTCTCCACTACCCTCCCTTTTCCACCACACTGGGACTGGCTATACACACCTTACACCCCCCACCCCCTTTCCCCCTTCTCAGGCAGCCATCCATCCGGAAAGGCTCCAGCCTCCCCAGCGCTAGCTAGTTAAAGATTTACCCACCCCCACCTCTGGTGGAAAAAGTCTCCAGCAAAGGGACCCCTAGCTAGGGGGTTCTGGAGTCTGAGGATCCCTTGCTCTTGTCCATTCCTATCAGGAGGGACCACCCAGACCAGACTCCTCTGTACACAGATGGGGATAGGGAGGCAGGGGCGGGAAGGGCTCAACCAGGGCCATACAGCAAGGCTGGGCAGAGCATGGACCAGGCCCTTCCTACTCTCCACCTACACCTCCTCCAGCTTTGTAATCTTCCTCCCTCGCTTCCCCACCCTGGCAGCTCCAGCTACTTGGTACCCCAGGGCCCAGGAAGAGGTGCGGGCGCCTAAAGGAGTGAGAGGGGCCCAGGTTTCAGCTCTCAGAGGACCTGGCTGGATTGAGTTCCTGAGCCCAGCTGACAAAAGGCCCAGGAAGACTCTGGTTAAACGCTGGGCCACCTGCCTCTCCAAAGCCAAGGCTGATCTAAGGCCAGGGAAGTTGTTTAACCCTCTCCTGGTCTGGCTGTCAGGAGCAGCAGAGCTATCTGCGCTGGTGCTGGGGTGGGGCAATCACCCATTCAGGGACAGTCTCCATGCTGGGCACCAGGGCAAAGGAATCCGGTAGTCTTAGTTTGGGACACAAGTAAGAACAGTCTAGTGTGCAGGGATTTGGGCAGAGGGTAGTTCAGAGCCCTGTAGGAGCAGGGAGGTGAGGGTGGTAGGTGAGGGTGTTCTTGGCAGACGGAACACCTTGCAAGAAGGCTGGGTGGGGTGGGGAAATGTGTGAGATATGTAGAGGTGGTCTGAGACTGGACCAAGCTCATGGAGGGCACGTGAAGGAGTCTGTCTGGACTCCCTCTTCAGGGAACCCGGAGGCCATTGAAGGGTTACAAACAGGGAAGTGACACTATCAGATAGGTATTGCTATTATTATTGCCATGCTGGCTGTCTCTGTATATTCTCTGAATATTTCCGTAAACTCCTCCTCCCTGACACACATTAGGATGAAAGCCTTAATGATCACCCCGCCCCCCCTTCAATGCAACGTGCTCTCTACCACCACAAATAATAGCCAACTATCGGAGCCACCCAACTAGGGACCGGTTTAACTTGGGTGGATGTGAGCTCCCCATGCACTGGAGGAGTACAAGCAAGAGCCGGTTAACCTTTTGGTCATAGGGCCTTCTAGCTGGATCTATAGGGAGAGTTAGGTAGAGCAAAGAGCCACTGCCCCCAGCCCTGCCACTTGGGCAAGTCATTCTCCCTTTCTTTTATTTATTTATTTATTTATTTATTTATTTATTTATTTATTTATTTATTTGAGAGAGAGAGAGAAACAGCATGAGAGGGGATAGGGTCAGAGGGAGAAGCAGGCTCCCCGCTGAGCCAGGAGCCTGATGTGGGACTTGATCCCAGGACTCCGGGATCATGACCTGAGCCGAAGGCAGTCGCTTAACCAACTGAGCCACCCAGGCGCCCTCATTCTCCCTTTCTTAACCTGTTTCCTTCCTATGAAAAGAGATGAATGATGTCACCTAGTTGTCCTGAGCTTTCGATGAGACCGTGTAATTGAAAGGAATTCATAAATTGTAAAGAATTATCTAAGAGCAAAATTAAAGTCCCTAGATGATCTCCAAGATTTCTTTCAACTGGGAAGGTCCTTAATCTGTTACATTTTTTTTTTTTTAAATCCTTGAGGTGGTGAGGACAAGAATTACTATTCCTGTTTTGCAGATGAAAAAAAAAAATGGAAGAAAAGAGAGGCAGACAGGAGAGGTTGTCTGAAGGGAAAGCAGCCGTGAGTGGCGGAACTGAATAAAACCTGGAGCTATGAACAGCTGATGGTCTGGGTGCTGTCTGTGATGGCAACCTGCCTCTTTCAGTTGTAGACCCAGCAAGAGAGCAGGTTGCTCCTTTAAATGTCCCTAAAAGAGTTAAGGACTCATGCGCATCTTTGTGTGCTTTGGTTTAACCAGAGTGCTGTCCCTCTTCAAACTGGACCGAGATGAGCCACACGGAAGGGATTTTTTTTTAATTCTTATGTTAATCCCCATACATTACATCATTAATTTTAGATGAAGTGTTCCATGATTCATTGTTTGTGCACAACACCCAGTGTTCCATGCAGAATGTGCCCTCCTCAATACCCACCACAGGCTAACCCATCCTCCCACCCCCGGGATTTTTTTTTTTTTAAGGATTTTATTTATTTATTTGACAGAGAGAGACACAGCGAGAGAGGGAACAGAAGCAGGGGGAGTGGGAGAGGGAGAAGCAGGCTTCCCGCCGAGCAGGGAGCCCGATGCGGGGCTCGATCCCAGGACCCCGGGATCACGACCCGAGCCGAAGGCAGACGTTCAAACATCTGAGCCACCCAGGTGCCCCCACATGGAAGAGATTTTGAGAAAAATGCCAAGACAAGGGATATGTGCGTGATGGGGTGTGATGGGCTGTTTGGCGTGACTTTGACAACCTGGGTCAGAACGTGTACTTGGCTGGATGTCTGCAAGCGAGAGCAAGGTTCTGGTTCTGTTCTCTAACAGCGAGTAAGAACATCTGCTCCTCTTTTTTTTTTTTTTTTTAAAGATTTTATTTATTTGACAGAGAGACACAGCGAGAGAGGGAACACAAGCAGGGGGAGCGGGAGAGGGAGAAGCAGGCTTCCCGCGGAGCAGGGAGCCTGATGCGGGGCTTGATCCCAGGACCCTGGGACCATGACCTGAGCCGAAGGCAGACGCTTAACGACTGAGCCACCCAGGTGCCCCAACATCTGCTCCTCTTAAATTGTGAATTCTTTCAGCAGAGTTTTTCATTAAGCCTCCTCTATGTGCCAGGCTTCCAGGCATGTGAGAGCTACACGAGTGAACCAAACAGACAATGCTAAGTGTGTTGTGGGAATGTGGAGCATCTGGAACCCCCCCACATGGCAGGTGGGAGTGTAAGGACAACCGTGTTCTGAAAACTATTTGGCTTTATCTAGTAAAGCTAAACGTGTGCCTATCCCATGATCCAGAAGTCCCCCTTCCTAGGAGTGTGCCTGGGAGAGCTGAATGTATGCTTCAAGGACAGGGACAAGGAAATCCAGCCATATGAGCCACCACTTCTGTCCCCACTACCACTGTCCCTACTTCCATCCTTGTCCTCATTACCATCACTGTAATCCCATCACCACCATCGCCCCAATTCTACCATCACCACCAGTAGCTACAGAAATAGCAGTCCCTGCCCCCCTCCCCCGCCACCGTCCTGCCATCGTCATGACTATGACCATCGCGATAGTGATAGGAGTCAACACCATCTCTATTCATTTGAGAAAGTTAAAGGACACAACCCCTGGGCCCCCGTCCACAGCTGGGGCTGAATCCCTCTGTGTCCTCCTCCCTTCCTCCCCCTGTCCTGGGCCTGTCCTCTATTCCCCAACTGCACCAGTGCCCCGGCAGGAGTGGGACTCTCGTGGTCCAGGGAGGGGCAGAGGGAAGAAAGTCAGCGGAGGAAACTCAGCGTATTTGAGAAGCTGGCTGACCCCGCAGGGGTGCATCTCCAGACCTCACTAGGGGGCAGCAGAGCACTGTGCCACCATTGCCCGAGGGCTTGTCACAAAGGAGTTTTGTCAAGCGAGGCCAGGCTCTTTGCATACGTTTTCCCCTAGCCTGTGCCCTGTGAAGGGGCTAGCCAGCTTGGTGCTACGGAGAGGGGTGAGCAGGCCCTCAAGAAGCGCTTCCCGGGGGAGTGAATAAAAGCCATGTTGAACCATCAGGGACTCTCCTCCACACACCCCTGCTCCCACTTCAGCCTTAGACATCCCCCTTGAGAAAGCCCTACCCTGACTCCCTAGGGCCTCAGAATGAAGTCTGAGCTACCTAGGCTGGGACTTAAGGCCATTCAGGCTCTATCTCCTATTGACCCCTTTGACTGTCCCTCTCCTCTACCCCCCACCCTCCACCCCTGAGTCCTGCACCTCCCGCCCAAAGCTTCCCTAGGCTTCCCTTTGACTCCTCTAAGCCTTTGCCCCTGCCATTCCCTCTGCCAGGAATGCTCACTTCTACCTGGTGGGCTTGTCCCGCAAGCTGTATTGTAGAAAGCCTTCCCCGGGCCCCTACCCCCCAGGTCAGCCTGGAGTCACCCTGTCCCCACAGCCTCCTGGACTTCCCTCTGTTACAGAACTGATCACATTGGATTGTGCCTCCTATCTTTTGGGGGGCAGGGACTATGTCGGCTTCATCCCTGTGATCTCTGAGCCAGCACAGGGCCCTGCACACAGCAGGGGCTCAGCAAATGTTGGTGGAAGGAAGGGAAGGAGCCAGGAAGGAGGAAGGGAGCCTGGTGGGCAGACTGCTGGGTGCATCCTTGCATCCCTCCCTAACCTCCGTCTCTCCCTTCCTCACAAGGCTAACCACAAGCACTCAACCTTATGATGTAATGATTCATTTAGGGCTCATTTATCATGGAGATCATCAGCTCCTGCCACAAAGCTGCTCTCAGATGTGCCCAGAAGCTGGGTGACATTCTTTCAGCTCCAGCCAAGCTGGCCTCTCGGACCCAACTATCTGCTACAAATTTAGAATTCCCAGAGGGTGGGGGACAGGCTCCACCGGGCCCCTGGAAACCCAAGTGTCAACGCCCTCTGCTCTGTCCAACACATTTTTCACGGAGTGCTCGTCCCCATTTGTCAGGTACAGAGACTGAGGCCCTGGTGGGAAGAGGCTGAGCCCAGTCTGGGGCTCACACCCTGCAGGACGACCTCACACAGGATGGAGGTGGGACAGAGATGAGAAGAAGATGGTGAGGAAGAAAGTTCTCCTTTTATCACATGACACTCATCTTTCATTGTTCCT